AATATGTATATATGAATATGTAAGCTGCTATTTGGAGACATAATTTCAGAATCACAATAAACTTAGGAAAATACCTTGACGTATATTGGTGAAAACGCCCTTTCGGATTGTTGTCACACCCAGTCAGTCAAGTAAATTCCTCATACTTATGTCCTATCTAAATTAAATATGTAGAGATGTTTATCCCATTGACTAGGCTTACTCACACACGCACACAAACACACACACACAATTAGTCATACACTATCAGTCTCATAGATATGGTTAACCAATCACACAACTCATATTATTATTTCTCTTATCTGCTAATGTTTACACACAGGGTGTTACCATGGTGAAATGAGTAACACTGAACAGTTAAAATTTATAATTTTGAGCAGATGTTATTTTGTTTCTTTTCTTTTCAATCGATAAGATTATCGTGCCTTGTACATCTGCTTCATCGTCACCTCCTCCTCCTCCTTTTCTTCTTCTCTTTACTGTCTGCTAGCTTGCAGATTATCCGAAAATTCTCATCTGATGAATTATGTTAGAATTCTGTTATAAAAATTTAATTTATAGTCGTTGTTTAATTTTTATTTTGTTGCTACCCTTTTGACTGCTGTTATTATTAAAAATAAATATTAAAAAAATTAATAAAATAAAATTGGTTTAGTCAATACCTTGTGCTTAGTGTCTGTATGCATTTTCAGTGCAGAAGTTGTCAGTCTAAATGTAACAGTGACTTGCGTAAAACTTAGGCTACCGAAAAGAACCTGCATCATTGTATATTGATTGCATAATAATTGCTCTTAGTCAGTTTGTTTAAATCTAGTAAAATGTGACCACTAATGGTATTCATCGCTTGTTCTGGTGAGTATTTAAAACGACATTTACAGCCTGCAGGGTTTCTGCAAGTTTCTACTAAACTCGTGAAAAAGTAGTACCCCGGATAACAGCTTGTCCAAGTACATGAGATAAGTGTTCCCAGGTTGTGTTTTCGGCTCCTGAACTTTTTATAATTGTGACATTCAAAAAGATGTTATAAATTTCTCGAACGAGTGAAAAAAGAGATGTCATAGTGAACTGATTTGCTTTTCAGGTTACTGTGTCTCACTAATACCTACTACTACTGTAAATTAGCATTTTATTTGAAGATCCTGGACAAAGAGAAAATATCATGTCATAAACTCCGCTGAAAATTCTGTACATTATATAAAAACGCTGTTCAGAATAAAACTGTTGTTATTATTGCGTTGGGTTTCGAATGGAACATATAGGGCTTTAACAGCACATCTCCACTTTCTTCTATTTTCTAATGTTCACTTCGCCTGGCTGAACACACGACTCCCTATAATCTCTCATCTCCTCCATGTCACCCTCATACCGACGACCGACCGATCTCTTCCCATTGCGATTCCACTCGAGTGATGGATGGTCTCCATTGCGCATGATGTCATTCGACGGTCTCCTAAGGGGCGTGTATTCCCTATCCATCTCCATCTTTTCCTACACAATTGTTGAGCAATCGGCTGTTGGTTGGTTCGTTCACTGCCAGGGTTTCTTGTTGCCTATTGTTTCTGGAGGGCCGGCTGGCTAGCCATTTGATCTATATTCCGGAGCCAGGCAGCGAAGGTGGCGGCTGTCGATAAAAGTCTGTAATTTCTTAAAAATCCTTTGCGTGATGCGCAGTTCAAATTTCTGACCCGTATAGAAGAAGTGAATGACTTCACATTTGTATTGGAAATCCGAATGTTGTTGTTTATGCTAGCTGAGGTGGAGTGAAGCAGAAGATTTCCAAACCGGTTTCAGGTTAATGAAGGCGTGCGTATCTGGCTTGTCTTTCCAATTCTGGCTGCCCAGCTGGCTGGCTGGTTGGCTTTCACATCTTCATCCGTGCTGTCGCCTGTGGTTGAAACGATGCTGCCTAGCCAGATAAGTGAAGGCAGGAAGTAACCTATTTCAACCTCTTTCTCCCGTTGGTGTTGATTGGTGCTGTTTGTTGTTGCTGTTGGTGGTGACTGGTCATCTTTATCACTTTCGTCGCCACCTTCTCTGCGTTCACCTGGAGTCCTGTCTTTGCTGCCTGCCTTTTCAGTCAGTTTGTTGGTTGTCAGCTGCATTTTATCTGTAGCATGTTATTACCATTATTATTGATTATTGTTCTCTTGGATTGCGAGTAGAACAAACGGTTTCATCAACGGAACATCACCACTTTGTCCTATTCTCTGCAGTCCTCTTTACTCAGCCAAACAGTTGCACAGATCATTCAATGATCTTCTCAGTACATGACCCATCCATTTCCATGTTTTTCAGAGCATTTTTTCTGAACAATCGCTTCTTGGCTGGTTTTTTCACAGAAATGTTTGTTGCTAATTTTTTTCTGGCTGGTCATTTCATCATCAGTGTGGAGCTAGTGAAGGCAACTGTTGATCAGAATTCTTCAGTGACCTGTTGGAAATGCGTTTTTATAACAGGTGTACCAAGTCTTTGACTCATATGTAGGCTGCAGAATTGACTTGACAACATTAGTGTTGAAAATCTCAGTTGTATTCTTTATTGTCAAGGAGAGGGTAGAAGGTTTCAAAACTGATTTCAAAACTGATGATAGTCTTCCTTGCCTTCGCCGACTGCCTGCAGTTGAAACGATGATGCCTGAATATAAGTGAGTGAAGCAAATGATGCCTTTCAAATCTATTCTACCAATAGTAATTGGTGCTTGTTTTTGTTTTTGTCGTTGGTGTTGTTAGTCGATGGGTATCTGAATCCACCTCCGTTTTCTCTATGCTTATTTTGAATTTATGTCTTCGTTGATTTTCGCCCCTGTACGTCTTCAAGTTTGTGTAAATGTAGGCATGTATTGGATGTATGTAAATATGCGTGCAGAGAATGATTAGTCAAATGTGAATACCATTATGCCACTGAGACCCGATCTAATGGCCAGCCAACCAGTCCATGAATTCAAACTTCTGCCAATTCACGCATGACATAGCACGACCAATTCGCAATGTCTTCTTCGATGAGTTACTGCCTCACCTTCAATCTGCTGCACACTATTGGTCAAGACTTCCCACTACAACCCCAGGTTAACTGCCTGAATAGGGCCAGTCGCTAGTGAGCATCAGATTAATTTTCAAGTATTGGTTTTGCAGGAACTTTGTTTGACTGTTTACACTATTTCATTATGAGCTGACATCAGTTAGAGAAACATTGCTGAAGAGTCCAAAACTAGGACGAAACAGCTGCTTATTACTCACAGGTTTTCCAATGGTTCTATAACTGATGTCAGCTCATGATGAAATTCCTTAACCAATCAAAAACATTCAAGTGGATGACAATGAAATTATGGTATCCGTTGATGATGTCATAGCATTATATACTTCAATTAGTCCAAAACTAGCAACAGAAACTATGCAACAATGGGATCATCACCGATATCAGGATTAATAACTGATGGCGTTATGCAAAGATCTCACTTAATAGCCCTACCTACCTACCTACAATTAAACTGAAACTCTGGACAGGTACGTTACGCTGATGACACATTTGTAATAGTTAAGAGAAGTGTGATTTGAAATACACCCACAAATTAATAAACAACACATATGAAGACATTAAATTCACCGGGGGAGAAGAAGATGAATTAGACTACAACACAATTCCATTCTTAGATGTTTGTCTCAACCAAGAGAACTAACACAGGAAATTTAGGAACACAAGCACATAAAAATTCAACGCACACACACAAATCAAATACTCAACCATAACAGTATTAACCCAACCCAATTACCCTCAAATGAAACTGTGTGCAGACATTGTATCAGAGAGTCCAAACCCAATGTTCTTTTTTCCTTCACGTCCCCCAGTGGAACACAGGGCTTCAAGCTAGTGGCTTGAAGTTTCTGTAGCAGTGTTTATTTTACAGGATGGGGTTGCTAGCCTCGTGCCCAACCTTTCCTCTTCACCAGCATTATTTCCGGCTTAGCGAGGTAAAGGAGTGCGTCTGCCGATGATCGAACCCCAGACCATGTGGTCGGCGAGCGACCTAACCGCTTTGGCACCGACGCGTGACCAAACCCAATGTAGCATTCCGATTCTGAAGAGAATGGAAGAGAAATACCCACTAACTGTCTTCGTCAGTTTTTAAATTCGAGTCATAACACCAGCAATAATCCAACTTCAAAGACTACCAGAAAATTCACCCTACGATATATAAGCAAATTTATCTCTGAAATAACGGCGAGAATATTAAGACCATTTCAAATAGATACACCACACAAGCCAGCCAGTTATCCAGTCAGTCATTCAGGCTGACAGCCAACGAACACAATCACATCACTCAATATTGTGCAGAGCAAAAGATCCATCCAACAAGAAAAGAAGATAAAATTAATACCATTTACAAAATCAATTGCATGCATGAACTGCAATAAACATTACATCAGTCGAAGTGGGCATCACCTTCGAATCCGAAAGCAAGAACACAAATTAGCTGTAAAAGGTCATGATATATATTCTTTCATCATATCAATGCATGTGGATAATTGGGGACACGAATGTGATTGGGATTATATCGGAATTTCCAATAAAGCAAACAACAGGAATGCAGTCAGGGAATCTCCAGAAGTCTGGTTGGTACACAAGTGAATCAGCAGCCAGCGATTAACAAACACACAATACTGTAGACCAAATTTACCAGCTAACAGAAAGTAAATCATCACATGACATGACACGAAAGTTCAAATTCCGAGTCAATTAAAGTGATCAGTGGAGACTTAAATTAACAGCCAAATAGAACAATGGTTGTCAGAATGGAGACAATTATATCATCATTGACGTAGGGAGAATTCAAATAACTTCATTTAATGCCTAAACCTGCATTGAATAGGGATGTTGCCTAGATGGAGGATGACGAAAGCTTCGCAATTAAATCACCAATCAACACAAATAATTCGGAATCCCTACAAACTAATTCTTGATAATAATAATAATAGTAATAATCACAAAAATCTCTTACTTACATTGTCACAGATAAATCGTTTCCACGAAGGTACGTCCTCTTCAGGTTGTTGCGATTGTAATAACCAACAGTAATAATGATAAGATAAAACAGTCTTTTTTGCAGCTGACTCATCCTCTAAAGATCCTGGTAGCCGATGCATACCCGTACCAGATATTCCATTGACTTGTGGAAAATATATTGCGTAAGTTATAGGATCAAAAAATATCAGCGAATTTTCATCCTTTTCACGGATAATTTTAATTAAATAGTCATATAGTGCCAGTAATTGATGACCTGAATTATCTGTTCAGTGAGAGACAGAGAGATAGAAAGAGAGAGAAAGGGGAGGTAAAATTGGGGAGAAAAAACCCAGAAAACATATTCTGTTAACTGAACTCACTAGAAATAAGCCTTCTAGGAGAACTGATGAAGTCAGTTGTCTTTCAATTCGTGGATTATATATATATATATATATATATATATATATATACCCATGGAACTTCATCAACAAAATCAACACTGACATTAAGTATGACCGAAAACGCATTCCGAAAACATGGACACCAACAGACGTCATTCCATATAGAGCAGAGACGTCAGACGATATCAGAAGAGTACTCAATGAACTCGACATTAGAGTTTTCTTCAAAACATCAGACACACTTCAAAGCAACCTTGTCCATATAAAAGACCAAATCCCTAAAGATTCTCTATCTAATTGTGTCTATAAAATAAAATGCTTGGAATGTGATGCGATATACATCGGACAGACATCTCGAGAAATCAAAATCAGAAGAAATGAACACCGTAGAGCATCTCTTCGACCACAGAGAAATCCCGTTGAACTACAAAGACTTGTAAAATCATCAGCCATAGGTCTACATGCTATAGAATCAGGCCACAAAATTGATTTTGACAATGTTGAAATAATCCAGAAAAACTTCAGAAATCACAAAGAACGTCTAATATCAGAAGCACTTCATATCAAGTGGAATCAAAATTGCCTGAATAGGAATGACGGACTAAAACAGAATCTGACCTGGTTACAACACCCCCCTCCCCCCATCAAGTGACAAAACCAACACGAATGTGATAAGCACTTTCATTATGTAAACACACGCTGCTTTTATAATCTTATACACTTATCAAATCCAACAATCCACACTTGATTTTGTTATCTTTACCAATTCACCAACTTGACAAGTAAAAAATGCCCTCAGACAGACGAACGATGATCAAGTTAGTAAACTTTATTTTGATAACATAACAGACGAACTATTAACTTTGTTATTTGGTTTAGTTATCTTCATCGCTATTTTTACTTTCAATATGTCCCTTTAACTTGACCTATGTCTATTTTTTCACACCCTAACTGTTTGTTAAATATATGCTGAGATTTTGTAAATTCCGGTTTAATAATACTTTGATAAAGCTATTAGCATTAAATAGCGAAACGTCGGTAAAACAATATCGTTTTGTTTTTCATTCATTGGGAAATACAAAAACCTTTATTATAATGAAGCAGTAATTGGATTTACAAAATATCTTGTGCCGAGTTTCGGACTAAATGTGTGGGTCAAACGTCCAGATTACTCAGAATATGAGTGAATGAACATAAACTCCTAACCGACTAGAGGTCATCCAACAGGAACACAAGCTTACAAGAATTTAGAAAAAAAATCCATCTATACCTGCATATGCGTGGGACAAAAACCACAATATCGATTGGAACAATGTTTGTATTCTAAAAACTTATACGAACAAATGGAAAGAGAGACATAACAGAATCTATATTCATTAAGGTCACACCAGATACATGTAAGCAGGGTGACTCAGTACAACTGTCTACAACCTGGAATACAATTCTGAATACACAAAAATGAATGAACAAAATAAGAGAACTGTATATATGAGTACAAATCATAAATATGTGAATTAAAAAACAAAACAATTCCAACAGTGGTGTGTTGATCACGGGCAGTAATTTCGCTCGAAATATTACCAAAAGCCAAAAACTTATAATTGTGTGTGAGATATAATTATAAATTATTTGAACTAGGGTTATGAAAAAAAAATTAATGTTTAAATAACATTAAATCAATAATAATAATATCAGAGGGTTAGAGTTCAGCAGCATCGCTTGAAAGATTAAGTACCTAGACTAGGCTAGCCACTTCTAATTGTATCTACTAATTCACCTGCACTTGTGATGGAGCTAGTTATACTGGCTGTTTCTCTGGGAACTTGATTTTTCGCTCTCTCTCGGGAACACCTATCAGTGGTGTGGCTAAATAAAGGTGTAGTGAAAGACGTCAACAGGTCAATGTTAGACCACCTGGTCCAAACGGACTGGCCAAAGAGCAGGCTAGCACTGAAGAATCCCTCTCCATCATCATCATCATCCATCACCTACCAAATAAATTGTCAAAAACATCTAGGTACCGAAGACTCCAAATAGTAGAGGCTATTGCGATCCACCTAAAACAGCCGATACTCTGTGTGTGTGTGTGTAAAAGGAACAGACCCAGCTTGGCTCTACAACTGCCCTGGCCTCTAGTGAGGACTATAAATTCATGAATTCCATATTATTATTAGTATTGCTTTTCCTGATTTGTCAAGTATTCAGTGTAGTGTTATGTTGATGCATCTTATCACACTTATAGATGCTATTGAATTGTACTTTATTCATATTGTTGATTGATTCGTTGTTATTAAAACATTAATGCTTTTCAGAAGGGACTTGAGTTCCCTCAACTTTGCAGATACGCCTTGTTGACTAATGGTGAGTACCAACTAGCACGAAATGTAAGTCTAGGCAAGGCTTTCTGTGGCCAATTGCCTCCAGCTATCTAATGTCGACAACTCACAGTACGCCGTGATGACGAACCATCCAGCCTGTTGGTAGTCACACTGCAAAGTTGACTGACTGATAGGATGCAGTCTGCAGTGACACCAAAGGCTAGACATATTACACTAGTTACTAACGAGTGTCCAATCAAAATATCAAATTGTGAGTAGTATGAAGACACACACATCGAGGAAAGTCATAAATACATTACTTGACAAGACTGTAAACTTCAGTCGTTCAAGGTGAATGAAGATTGCGTTATACATCTACAAAAAAAACAACAACCTACAGTCTATGTATAAAATTCCATATTAGCCAGAAAAGGTTAACGCTGAGTGTATGCCATTCACCAGTTTAATAAAACTTATAATCCATAGGCTAAGATTTCAACTGGACTGAAAACGGCTGGAACTCCAGATGACTTGACCTATACAAGTCAACAGAAGAGATTCATTCGTGAGGATACTCATATATATCGTAATATTGCATATACGTTTTGTATTTCTTCGATGTTAGTTTTGGATTTCACTCACTACCTATATATATATATAACTGTCTTCATTCCAGGTGTTGACTTACAGAGATTTGATTGCCTTCAAGTTAGTGAAAATGTTCATTCAGATATTTAAAAGACAAAAGAAAATTTCAGCAGTAAAGAATATCCTTTTCGATAATTTCCTCTTCTAGTTCTACACGGAAGATTCTGGAATAATCTTCATTAACAATATTGGTGTTTCTGAAATAATATCAACGAAATTACAGTTCAAGAATGATGCATGAGTTATAATAATAAGAAGCATAGAAATGTAATAGTAAATAGAATATCAAATAAAATTAAGGAAATCTCTACAACAACAAATTAAAGATCATTAAAACCTTCAGTGATGGCCAGTGGGGTAGTGGAAGTGTCTGAAACAGCCAACTTCATCAGGATACATAGATTGGGCTTCTTAGTGTCGATCACAACCCCAGCCCCAGCAATATGTGTAATAGACAAAGTCTTGAGGTAAAATTAAGCTTAATTGGTACATACAGCAGATGACTTGAAAGCTGCCTTGTTTGAATCAATCTTTTGTTATGTATCTGCGGGATGAGATAGAATAGAACTATGAATGGACTTTGTTTCTCCCTTATTAAACCACTGTGCAGGAAAGGGTTCGGAAATCCAACGATAGATGTGCCTAATTGTACGGCCTATCCAACTAATTGACTCTCTCCACAGGAGCAGTCAAACTGATGGATACACATAGGAGAGGCGGAATTAGGCAGTTTATCTCTAACACCGCATTCCCTAGCGTTGTTTTCAATATCTCACTGTTGTTATCATCACCGAGGAACTAGAGTTGTAAGAATAAGGCCTTTCTTTTTCGAAACAGTTGGTCGGTACTGTGGCCTGCTTGCCTGCCTTGACTTTTGATTCAGATTCTGATAGATGAATTTTTTTGGATAACCGTTTTCACCCAGTAACTGTTTAATAATATTGAGCTCTTCATGAAGACATCCATCAGAGCAGACTGCTATTGATCTGTGGCGGACCAAGCACTCTATTAAATGGCGTTTGTGAATTTCATAGGTATAAAGCTGAAAAAATGAGTATACTGATAGTCAGTTGATGTATGTTTTCTATATACACTTATTGTTATTGTACCGTCCTCTTTTGTAGTCATAAGGACGTCTAGGAATGAAATGCTAGTGTCCATTTCTTTCTCAATGGCAACATTTATTGCAGGATGAACATGGTTAGATTTGTCAGTGGGTGTTCTTTGCTTCATCCTCATTTTTCATAATCAAAAATGTGTCAGTCATCCATTTATTGCCAGTAGAATTCTAGTTCATCAGTTACACCCTTCAAAGTTCTATTCTGTGGTTTTGCAAGGAAAATGTCGGCTAGAATGGCTCGTAGTGGTGACCCCATTGCCACACCATCAGATAAGTCAAATGATATCATGAATTTATCGTCAAATAATAGCAAATGGAGATAGGACATTTATGAAGTGATCGCAACTGATGATAGTTATGCTGTGGATATAGACTTCTGTTGATGAAGGTTAAACATATTAAGGGGATACACAATCTGATTCTGTGGTAAACGAAAACTGAGTTTATAACCGATTAACTTCAAGATACATTTCGTTACAGACCAAAATCAAATAGACAACGACTGTAAACCATGTGGGGAGGGGGACGACAACCCCAGGAGACTTTGAACTGAGGACCTACATTTGACAGAGCGAGATTTTGGACCATTTAACCGTCGGGTCGGATTCCAACAGAAAATGGATATTACCTTGTGTTGGTTTGTGGTGTGTAGCACCTCAGCTTGAAATCAATCCACTACTCGGAAATTGATCCACTGATCTCTATTGATTGACTACGGAGTAAACATGCTGAAGCTCTGATGAGAAGTTGTAGCCAGTTGGATCCACCAATTCCGGTATGAGGACTGGCAGTCACA